CTTTTCTTACCTTTATGTAAAATACTTTAATTTCATTGGTCAATGACGCGTTAACACGATTCCGTGTCACGCCTCCCGGGAGGATGACAAATGGAGAAAAAATATTACCCGCTTCCACGGTAACCACCAAACTCTCCGCCGAGAAGCTGTATAGCTAACAATTGTATGACGTCATAATATGACGCATGCAGTGCACGGAGTTCGAAAACCGTTCGATTTGCTGTTTTGGAGTTCACTATGTACACATTTATTTTACCGACTTTCACTGCTTTATTTTAACTATTTTGTACCTTAAATCGTTTGCACACTCCAGTTAAACACAACTGACCATTTTTATAGCAGCTTAAACCTTGTCAGAATATGTTTCACTGATTTTTAAAATCCAGTCGAGAGGCAGACGCCATTTTGTTTAAATGTCATATAGTCGGTAGCGATCTTCAAGATGAAATAAAATGATATTTTGTACATTTAACATGGCGGTAAGATAAGTATGTTATATGCCTCTCCCTCGGGTAATACGGTCTGATATATGCCTCTTTGTAGCAGTGTTAACCCTCGCCTACCGTCTTGGGTTACACTGCTACAAAGAGGAATACATCAGACTGTATTACCCTCGAGAGGAGCATACAACTTATATTGCAACAAATATCCATGTGCATATCTAAAAGGGCTAACGTGACATCGTCTTAGCATGACCTTTTAAAATCTAGACAGACGACAGATCTAGCTATATGTGTTTACTAAAGATGCTTTCATTGGATGTACTATATTTATGGGTGTCTCACTTCTTATGCATTAGATCCCTAATGTAACATCTAATGACAGGTTTTTAATCACTGAGAGCGATAAGCAGTGGTGTCACTCTGTGTTGTTCTGTATTGTTGGACGTTTTTAAATAATGATGTTCTCCCATGTAATAGTTGTACTGACAGTTATGGTTTTACTTTATGTTGAATAATATTCGTGTTTGTGTTGGGAAACTATTAAGACGAAACCTGTTTCTACCTGAAGAAATAATTGATGTTTTTGAAACGATGTAAAACTAAATTCCCGCCCCCTCTATATTTGCTGTTTGTAACAAGGAAAGAGGACTGGGAATTTTTCCTTTACGGCTCTCCATTGGGATCGTATTTATAACATACCCATCAGTCTTATATGATGCCAGAGGGTTTACATTTTGTACAAGTCTGCATTTCGTTGGTTTGCCTTACATTGGCTTCTGTAATGGAATGCTTCATTCAGAACTTTCTTCCTACATCAGGTTGACACAGCCACATATGATGTCTACAATTTATCAGAGTCTAACAGACTACTTATCAAACCAGACCAGGGTAGACAGACATAAATGATATTATTCATGTGGAAGCTAAAGGCCAAGTCGGGAATCAATAGGACTTTGTAAGTGCCATGTCTGAAAATGAGCTGACGGTGCGTCGGGGATGAAAGGTTTCAGTGACAAAGTTAGGTTTATGTCGTGTGCCGGCTTTCAGTGGTACAAGCAGTGTTGCCTGTAAATGGGAAAGACAATACCCTTAACTCGGCCACTCACTTAATCATCCTACGACAGATTCAAAAGATTTATTATTTTCATGCAAATATTTTCGAATGTCACTCAGTGTACGACATGACGCTGACAACACTTTTCTTATGGCTGCTTTCCTGTAAATTCAAATTATTCCTTGATATGTAAACAGACCGTATCCGCTATTGCATTAAGAACCCGTTTGTTCAATTGCATAACAAACTTTAGCTGGAGGGGAACACATATGTGCCACAACTTGATCGATAGATCAATTCAGATTACTTTCAATATTATGTTTTGCATTAAAGGCTTTTAAAATATTTATCCAGTAATTGGCAACGACATGCAAATAAATATATGTGTGTATTCCATGTTTTACGTGTTGAATTAACTGATGCATCATGAAGACTTTTAAGCCAATTTCAGGTGAAATGTATTTCAGAATAGAACAATAACGTGCTTCCTGAACGGAGAATACAAACCCAGTCTGATGAAGATGTCAGTTGTTTTCAAACATTCCATATACAGATGCCGTAGAGGGAAACATTGACAATCATCCAAAGGCTGATAGCATTGTTCCGGTATTTATGGGATGAAATCAGCAAAATGGTGCAACGACTCTACGGTGACTTCCAAGATATATTGACGAATGTTGTGCATTATTCTTTTTAATTAAGAAGATAAGACGATTTGGAAGCTATTCTTTCAAGACTTTCCAAAAGGAATCTTTTACAACATACATTTTATTGTTAATGTATTTTCAAGTTTTTTTCAAATGTCCATTGCATACAAATCCATATTTCACTGGTTTCATTTACAAAGAACTCTTGAACAGAAACAAAATATACATGCTTCATTTTAGACTTTTCACATAAGACCCTGATACAATCATCAATTACAATTACAAATTGTCCTACCCTGTCATACAATGTTTGGTTGATTCCGTCTTAATGATATAATGATGCTGTACAGCCTCATGTGAGAATAAGGACATTTATAGTGCGCTAAACTCCATTCATTAGGTAAATGCCCATAGCGCTAACAATCAAAACACAGAACTTTATTACCCGGATTTCCCAAGCTGCCTATGAGGCCCTAAAAGGTTAATAGTCACATGACTTATTCCACCGGGTACCCATTTTCTGCTGGGCGAACAGAGGTAATTTTGAACAAACTCACTTGCCTAAGGTGAGACCACATGTATAACAAGAGATTCGCTGTGGGACAGGACTGAATACCTAGAAACTCTCAGGAGTCCAGCTGCCAAACACGGTCACCAGTCCAAGTACTCTCCGTGCCCAACGTTGTTTACCTTCAACTGATTTGTGAGCTGAGCTCTACGCACAGGACCACACACCACCACACCAATGGGTTGCAAAAATGAACATTCTATACAATTATACAATTAATTTGACTTACATTGGATTCTGTGACAAAAGAAGAAAGAAATATGATGTAATTAACTATTGTATTCTAACATTGACTAAATGCCCAAATCAATGCAAATAAATTCAGCTATGTATTGTATGGCAGTAACTATGTTCAGAGTCAGTAAAATACAAGATGAGCGACTATATAGCAATAAAGACAATAATGCAATAAAATCCACCTCTCAGCAACAGTAATCCAACTTACAGCTGGAGAGGGTGCGATCACAACACAAAATGCTGGTCTTCTCGTTACTTGTTACTAATGATGCAATGTGAGATGAGAGGCAAAAGTTAACTCCTTTTACAAACAGGTCTTCTGAAATGAGGTCTTTGTAGCCCTGTCCAGATCATTCAAATATTCTGTGAGTCAGAATAACGTTGAAAGTCTCTAGAAGTCTAAATATATCCCACCACTGCCACTTGCTGAATCCAACAGTAGGGTGTAAAGCAATTGAAACACTGTTGCACAAGTACACTGCCTCATAACAACACCCATTATATCGGATGAACTATGGTCAGTTACAATTTGGCCTTACCTTAAGAGATTAAGTATCAACAGACAGCACTGCAGACAAATACAAATGATGTTATTCATGATAGTCAATGTCATGTATTTCCTCGTTAACGAATTCACCCTATAATTCATCGTAATGGCATTCTAGACTCTCCAATTTGACATACAGGTCCAAGATATTTTTGGGAAACAGAATTCCATAACATCAAACTCAAAGGTTGTTTTCATGCTTTGAAAATGCTTTCATATTTACATTTTCACAGGCCGACATGACTAACTGTAGATTTCAAATGCGACAATATTTGCTTGAAATTACAACAGACCTTATCAGCTAATGCATTAAGAACCCATCAGTACCGCAAACATATTTGACTTCATGGAATAATGTGCCATGTCGTTTCAGATAGCTTTGCATTTCGACTTCCATTGAAAGCTTTTAACTCTTTAGGCTTGTAATGTGATTGTAATTACAGTCAGATGCATAATGTTATATTTACTCACACTGGATTCGCCTAGGCACTTTAGAGCATTTTAGAACGTTTGTGATACTGAATTGTGTTCAGAGTTAACTAATGCATCGTCACATAAACTATTACTTCACATACTGGTCACATTGAGTTGAGAATAGTACGAGCGGAAGGTTAAGTCCGAGTATTCATCACACATTTATTATCCAGTCTGTGGAAGATGTTTAAGGTTGTCAACAATGCTATTGGTTCATCTACTGAAACAGATGATGCACAGGACACACTGACATGTAACCAGAGACTGATAGCATTGTCCGGATCATCATTGGATTACCAGCAGCCGAAGTCCGGAAAATGCTGCAACCGTTGGACGGTAGCTTCCCGTATATATTCATTAGTGGTGTAATTTCATAATTTACGTTCTCAACTGTATCCAGATCATTCCGTCGTATATCGCCGCTAAATCTTTCATCGACGCAAGTCTTACCATTGTAAACCACATTGTGGCGCTGTTAACTTTAACCTATTGGGGTCTCAGTACCAACATCCACAGCAAGGTTCGCATATTCTACAAACGTCTTCAGGAAGTACGGTTGAAGTTTGACAGTTGTGTTCCAGCAAAGAGACTGAGGCAGAGGGTGAAGTGGACATGTGCATGCATTACGTTCTTCGCAGCATTCATTGGTGTGGCCACCGGATTATTCATAAACATGCTAGGTGATACATCCACTTATTTCTTTTGGCCTTTACTAGTTTTGTCTTCGATAGGAAGTGGTTGTATGATTTTGCTAAACCATTCGTTATTGCTTCTGTTCTTGTCTATCTGCCTCCTTCTTACTTATGAGTATGATAATTGCACACTGAGACTGTCTAGGGCATCTGAAGGGTCCGTCAACGGAGAGGATATTGAGGACATCCGAGGTTACCATGCATCCTTAACAGACCTGGTGGAACATGTGTGTTCCCTCATGTCCAGACACGTGGCTGCTGGTTACGTCAGCTCCTTCCTCATTGTGTGTTTCTGTCTGTACAACATCATCAACGATGACAAATCTTTTACGACCCTGTCCGTCACCTCATTTGCTGTGGGCTCGTCCATTATGCATCTCATCGCTCTCACCTATACTGGTGTCAGACTCCATGAAGCGGTAAGTGTTAGAATATTGTTGTAAAGGTGTACAATGACATACATAATACAGAAAAATGATGCATTCTACAAACTAAATGTACTGAATGCCCATATAAACACAAATAGATTCTATGATTGGACATGATTCAAAAAGCTGTCATTGGACTTTCTCTAATGCTTTCTTCTTTCTAGGATTAACCCATGTTAACCGTTTTCATGATTTCACAATATTTCAATCCAAATGTATGTGATAATAATGCTAATTGTTATGACATATTTGTGACAAAATTAAATTTTGCCGTCTCTACCATTCGTCCATTAATTTAAATCAGATGTTTGGGACATAACAAGTGAACCGAACCATCTTGAAATAGTGATAATTCCGGGTGTTAGAACATTTTTTGACAGTTTAAGTTCTCATTAAAAACTTTTTTCTTCTATCATTTATTATGTTTTAGTAAAAACTGAGGTTTTTCATCATTTATTTTGAAGTAAATAACTGCAATGTTTGGATACAGGCACATCAACCTCTGAATATTCTGCATGATTTGGCTGGGAGAAATATGCCAGATAGAGTAATTGGACTGGTAAGAAAACAATTGTAACTGTTTGCTGAGTGACAACTGTTCTTGAGTTATTTGTATATGTTCTTTTAATTATACATGCATGTTTGTTGATCAAAATTCCTGCGTCTGGCTGAAAAGGTCAATGTTTAGTGCAATTATATGAAAATGGATGTAGGAAATATTCCAAGCCCACCTTCACTGCCTTCAATATATAAGGATTCTACACTTACTAAATACCTCTGCAACACACTTTCTCACTTCGCTGTAATCTCCCCTCATATATGAACTTTGGATGGAATGATTTTCAGAATACAACATTGGCAGACACAGTCGGAAACATTTCTACTGATATCTGATCCATGCTGACTGAATCATGTCGATAATCCCTGCTTTGTTTCCCCAACTTATAAACCTCATGTGACGTCATCCTATTGTCTGGGCACAAGATTATTTCTCTTTAAGTTTTTTATGTTTGTTTTTTTTGTTTGAAAATCCCCGGGATATTACATATAATTAGATATAATCCCTTGGAATTTGTATAGAATCCCAGAGATATCACCTCATGACCTGTACAGTATACTTTCTTCTTGAAAGGACACCAAAACAGAATTTCAGAATTTATTTAGTGAAAATTGTAGGTAACCTGTTTGGCAGAAACGGACATTGTATGAACATTGGGGGCATTTCTGTCCTCGGGGCCAACTTTGGATTCCGCCTGAGCTTCGACTTGGTCAGTGGGCGTGGTTGGACGTTGTGCGTGTCCGTTTTGTAAGGAAAGTAGACACAACCTCTTGCTGCCCGTCAGAGGGATGCTTATAGGTCCGTAAGGCCTTGCTTCGGTGACTGTAAGCAATGGATATACTTTTAAGAACAAGTTTACGAGGTTTACATTTGTCTCCGGGGTTTTGTATATTCTAAGCATGTAAAATGACTATTAAATTTTTTATCCTCCACAAGTTGTTAGGAATAAATTATTTTGCCATACTCATACATAGCCAGAGTTTATAGCTGACGATATTTCCAAAGAGAAAAATCGATTGCAATTGACACAAATATTTGACTACAAATAGTCGACAATGTGAATAAGAAGACCAATTTTGGGTATCAGATTGTTGCAAAAGGATCACATGGTCCTCTATAGTAGTTACAAATGTTAGTAACGAACCTGTTACATTGCAGATGAGTTACTCTTCGACGTTAGCCTGGAATAGTCGCGAGGCCGCCGTAGCTCGCAGGGAGTGATTTGTTTTGCCTCTTATCCCACTTGCTTCACACAATCGCTTGATAGTGCCCTGTAGGGTGTTGTACCCCACTGGACATTTCGTGAACCAATTGCCAGGAGTTGGTTTAGTGACTGGTTTAAAAGAAAAGATGTCAGTGTCCTTTCCGGCAGTGCTGGAACATGACAGATTCACAATTAGTCTCAACCTATATTTCAATTATCATAAATGTCAGCATGCAAGGGTTTTGAAGAATCAAGATTACCTACCACAGAGACTTGTACTTCTGAAACAGCATGAAGAAACATCTATCTTTGTTTCCGTTTTCATATGCCCGCACTTCCTTCCATGTAGTTTTTCGGTAGTTGATGCCGCCTTGATTCGTTTTACTGCCGTCCTCTTTATATAGCAAATAACGATGTCCTCGCGCATCAACATGTGAGCCAGTGATTAGGGGGTTGTTCCACAATCTTAAATCTCGGTGTTCCTTGCCTCCCCTCAGAGCAAAATGAAGGCCTGAAACAAGTAGAACATAAACTTACCTTACTTTTTAGATACGGATCACCTGCATACTAGCTAGGATAATGAACGATCGCCAAACTAAAAAATAAAGACACCTAAAGATTTTGTGCATTTTTCTGGCATTCCTACATAAAGCAGTGAATAACATGTAGACTGTTCGATGGTTAATCATTCACCTCAAAATGTTAACTGGTATACTGAAATCATTCTAAATACATCTAAAGTTTTTGTGCATTTTACTGGCATTCCTATATAAAGCAGTGAATAACATGTAGACTGTTCGATGGTTAATCAGTCACCTCAAAATGTTAACTGCCATACTGAAATCATTCTAAAACCTACATGTAAGATAGAGTGCTGTATCCAAAAGTTGTGTTGGATTGTCCTCTCCAAGACTGCCTTGCTCCCACAAACACTCCTCCTCTGTCGAAATGACGTCCGTTTTCTTCCTACTTGCAGCTCCCAAACCACATTTAGAAAGGCGCCTCATGCTTGCATCTAAACTATTTCTGGCTGCTTTAAATTCATCATCCTCAAAAATGTTTGGATTTCGACCTTTTCTGCACTTGACTGCAATGCTGAAAACAACCCATAGAGAGAATTTGAGGGATAGTTTGTGCCATCTGTTTTTGTTGCTTCAAAGACAAAATATTGTAAGGCGATGTTGATATTCTGTCGACTCATTTCTAGAATGTTTTCAGACAAACATGGAGATGGCATCACAACATTATCTGCAACAAACCTCATGCCTCGCTCCTCTTGCCATCGTTTAAAAACGCCTAAACCCCAATCATTGTTGATTTCGGGACGCAGATTTCAGTGTTTTTTCAAAGTTCTTCACTAGTAAAAGGCTTTCCAAAACGACACTTAAAAGCATTGTCTTCTGTCTCGTTTTCATCACTGTCCTGCGGTTTAAACGAAGATTGAGTACTGAAGATTTCGTCGTCTTCGACTCTCATTTTGACTAACTGCTACCACCGCAGTCCAACGAAAATTCTCTGAGAATTCTCTGATTTTCAGTTTTATGCACATTCTGCACGTGCATAATGTGCGCTGGTTAGGACACTCAACGTGATATAACGAAACTATATGTTTGTCGAATACCAGAAACAATAAAAAAATACATTTCTAAAAATGATATTCGTTTTATAAGCTAGATAAAACATTTCCCCTCGGCTTTTATGAGATTTAAAACCCGTAACCCTGGGGATAAACGGTCTTAAATCTCCTAAAAACCCTCGGACACATTTTATCATACACATAAATCAAACTACAAAGGGCAGAGTCAATTCCATGTATGACGTTTTTTGACATCGTAGGTCATCAGGTGGCTCGCGCACGCACGCTTGCACGCACGCACGCGCGCGCGCGCACACACACACACACACACACAAACACGCACCACCACCACCATCTTCACCATCACCACCAAAGGCGTTCAATGTTCATTGGTGTTTATGTGTTAGTCCTTTAAGAAATAACATTTTCTTTTCTCTGAAAGTTTACTGAAACTTGGAGGGAGGTCCATTAAGGTAGATAGATGCTCTGGCTCTATCATAGCCGGTTTATTGACACAACGAATATGTGTCAGTCATTCTGTTTTAACACGCTACTTGCAATGAACGGGTGAAATCCTGAGAGATTGAGAAATGTGGCATCCTCCATAAGTCACTTGTAGTGGACGGTCCATAATGTCATTAGTTGGCTAACGTTTTCTTGCCAACGGTCAATAGTCGATGAATGATAAACAACATCTCTTGCAATAGGTCTCATTGACATGCCAGCATTGCGCATACCAATAACTTTGCATATTAAGAACGAAATGAATTGATTTTCAATTTTATGGAATAGTTTAAAATGCTCGCCTTTGATCGAATCACGTGCATATCTAAAATCAATTTATGGTGCGCCCTAAGGGTCAAAATAACCATACACAAATGATTATGATATGAATATGAATGCTTCAGTCCTGCCCCACAAGCACATGTGATACATTGTGGTGAAATGTTTACCTTGCCTGTTGTCGTATTTATCTTACGATCTGTACATCTAGGTCACTCTGTTCACCAGCAAGTTGTCTCAACGTCAGATCGGAATCAGTGCCTCAGGACTCATGACCATCACGAAAGACACTATCTTAACGGTACGTTGAATGCATATAACTCAACTCGCATGTATCCACAATGGTATTTTCCAGGTTGTAGTATAAAACAGTTCTTTTGTTCACTAAATATATGACATTATATCCACATTTAGCTTCTCTTATGTACGTATTTATCCTCCAATTGCGTTGCTTCGTGAAGAACCGGCCAGACTCGCTGATTTGAGTGATACATGTCATTTCCCAAGTGCCGAGATCACAATTCACTGTGTCGGTTAATGTTACGTCTTGCCCACTTTCCACTGTTTCAAGACCCCATCCTTTAGCTGAAACAGGCTTGTCTGTAGCGCTACAATACATCAGTAACTTTTGCTTCATTGTTTGAACAGATCATCGGTACCCTCCTCACCTACGTTTTCATTGTGATCCAGTTTAAACCGGAATCAAGTAGTGGATGTCGACACGCTGGAAACGCAACGGCAATATAGTGGGACCGACTAATACTTGAGCCGTTCGTTATTCAGTGAGAGACTGTCATTTCATGTCACATCGTCCGTTTTTCAACCGAATCGTGACTGAAACAAGTACACATAAATAATACTTTTAGACTATAAAACCTGTCGACAAAGAACAGTGAAAGAACTGGACTATCACAGATAAAGATTTAAAGCTTGTGTCTAAGCTGTAATGAGTGCTTATCCAAAACAATACAATATACACATGGGCTACGGTTTACCAGCATTTAAAATATTTTCTACAAGGACATTGAGTTGGATGTATACAATTTCTCATTTATAATCACCGAATGAGATAACAAGTAGTGTCACAGAGTGTTTTTATTGCTGGTTTATCTGTGTTACCAACAATGTGAACATGACTGGACAAACAACAAAAGATGTCATGTTGGCCAGTACCGAGATCATTGGAACAGTTATCTTATAATCTTGATGACAGAGACCAAGATCCAATGACGGTGGCGCTGGCAAATGCATCACCATCCTTAGGCCCATCTGTGCATATAGATGTGAAAGTATGATCTGTGTTTCTTAATTCATAATGTTCTTGTTGATAAATACGATGATTTCTTTCAGATTCTCTAATTTAGTTAATGTTAGAACCACCCTGCAGATTTTGTCGAGTTCCTCACAGTAGATTACGCAGTGCGCCACATAACTTAACGTTGTTTCATGGAAGGTCCTGCACAACAGATTCTATATTTTAACTATGAATCGTAGAAGATTTAAATACTCCAAGGCGACATCTCGGGTCACGGTAATAAGTAAAATCTTATAACTTTAAATTGCCTTTACAGGCTCTGACATTGATGATTGAGCACTTTAGAGAGGATCATTGCTCTATATAGTTGGACAGTTTTTGCCCTAATGCCCTCTCCTTACATATTTGTATTGACGGGCATGATTTCACTTTTGCAAAAATATCCATGCAAGACGAAAATTCCCTAACCTGTACCCTCTATTGTTGCTACTTATAACAAGAAAAGAGTCCTGCGTAACAGTTTGTTGCAATAACCTATATTAGGATGGTGGTTATAACATACCCACCGGTCTAATATTATGCCCGAGGAATTTGAAATTGTACATTATATACATCTGTATACTTCATTGCACTTTGTTGCAGGATATTTCATTTTGGACTTTCCCACATTATTATAAGGGATGATGCAAATCCAACTTGGGTCGATGCAGGCAGCAAAAGTACTGTAAGACCCCATGGTCCCTAGTATGATGCTCTACCTTTAGTTGTTGACAGTCTATAGTCAGTATTTCTTGTTGTATGGTCCCAAATAGATATATAAACTAAAGACTAGTTTAATATTTCAGATATTGATATTCTAGTTGTTTTACTGTCCTTTGTCGAAAGATATAATTATACTGTAATATTAACTATTGTTAACGTGTTACCTGTTTTAGCTAGGATATGGGTGACATATTGCCGATGTAACTATAAATTTCAACTCACTCACTCACTCTCTCACTCAATCACATATTTTTTACGAAGGACGTTTTACTGTTCAGCCAGTAACATGCAATGTCATTAGTAGGTCTGTGTATTTTTTATGTTTATATTTTTATGTTTGTGTATGTTTTACATCTCGTCGTATTGGGCTGTCTTCGGAATTAAATGATGCACCCTGAATACAGGTGACTTCGAGTTGAGAATAGAATAATAACTTGTACAGAGAATACAACATGTAATTACAATCCAGTCTGCTGATAATGTCAAAGGATGTTTTAAAGTAATGTCAAAACATGTACAGATGATACCGGTGATGTGCAGGGAACATTGACAGGTATCCGAAGACTGACAGCATTGTCCGGGTTATTATGGGGCTATCAGCAAAATGGTACCAAATGGTAGTTTCCTGGATAAGTATGGTGGGCATATTTTAACACACTTACCTTTATGCAGATGATACTATATTATGCATGTCTTTGAAGTCTTGAATCTTTCAAAGATGCAAATCGTTTCTTCCCTTGTCTCATTGTAATTGTTGTATTTTTAATCTAATTTTTTCTAATGTTTATCCCCGTCTCAGTACCAACAGTCTCAGCAAGGTTCGCATATTCTACAAACGTCTTCGCGAAATTCGCTTGCAGTTTAACAGTTGTGTTGTAGAAACGAGACTGAAGCATAAGGTGAAGAGAGCATGTGTGTGCATTGGGCTCTTCTCGGAGTCGGATGTGTGGCAATTGCAAGCATGATCATGAAACGTGACACGTCCAGGTACTTCTTGACTCGTGCTGAACAATTTGTTGGTGCTTCTGTTCTTGTCAATCTTCCTTTTCCTTATGAGTTTGATGACTGAGACTGTTAACTGCATGTGATGGGTACACCAAATAAGAGAATATTGAGGACATTCGACTTACCATGCGTCATTAACAGACCTGGTGGAAAATACACTCATTATTGTGTTTTATTGTCGATTTTTTTTAGCTTGACTGATGCTGAATGGAATATGTTCGATGACTGCCATATGTTCTGTAGATATAATGTCAATAGTGATTTTCCTGTCACAAGACACACACGCCCACGAAGAGGTGCGTTCTGTCCTCAGTGTGTTGTTATCATTATTCTTCACCTCCTTGAAACAGACATGTTAGCCAGTTGTGGAGGTGTCCTTGGCACATGTTGACGCTGGTAGGTATGATCTGTCAGAAAACCTTTCGTGACGGTGTTTGGTCACTTTACAAAAAATTACACCAACAATCGTTTTCTAATTTGGCATGATGCATTATAATTGTTCTACCATTGTGAATTTTGAATTTCATGAATTATGATTTAATCATAAAAAGTCAAGACAAGCCCAAATAACATCTTAACTGTCAAGGGCGTTAGGCGACTTATCGGAACAGCCACCTGGACATGCAAATGTGCATCAAGCCACTACCAGTGACAGACAAAAGGGTCATCTCAAAATCTGACACATCACATCATGCTTTGCCATTTAACATGAAAAATGAATACAAGGTAATATTAGTGATCATGTTGATTTTTTAAAATGCCACTAATCAGAACGGATAAGTAATGGTCATTTGGTTGAAAAGCATAGCAATTGGCAAGGAAAGCAAAACGTATGCGTTGGATTTATAATGCATTGTTATAAATATGAAAGCTTTCACATGTTGATTGCTGTCAAGGTATGAATCACAAATCATCTTCTACAACAGACTGATCAGAATCTGATTCATCCTCAAGATGTACGCCACAAGGCATGTGTCATGCTAAAAGAGGAAAGATGACATTTCTCCACGGAAGTGCTTCCCATCACAAGTATTCCCGTCTACACCTGGGAGTGGACGTTAATGTTCCATCCTCAAAATTGCCCGTGGGACTGAGCGTCTTTCACAAATGCCGTAGATGCATAGATGTCTATTCGAGCAGCTACATCTGTTGCCAGGTATGGTACCGGCTGTCAGGGTTTCTGGATGGAACCTGTTTCAGACTTGATGTTGAAACTTGATGTAGTGTCATGACTGGTGGTCGGGCACTGACGGTCTATAACTTGATTGTTTTGCTGAATGGTGTTTCCATATGGTTGAAAGGAGCATAATCATGCTGCTAAGTACCAAAATGAAGCATATTAATACGCATATCGAATGATGGAAAAGAGGTATTCGGCACTTATTTAGACTGAGATGAAATGATCAGCTTCTGAGATCAAAAGGCTGCAATAGAGTTTAATGAACCAAACTAAAACGAATAATTTACAATATAAAGTAATTTACAATGTCACATTCAAAAGAAACAACTGACAATAATTCCCATTAGGTATAATGCCTCAGGTGTTGACTGATCAATCAGTCTAATTTGTCAACTATCCATTAACGGCTTATTGCAACTTCGGACAATTGGTTCCGTTTGTCGTGATGTTTGTTAATGGTGACTGCCATTTTTGCTTACTCCCAATATCCATTTCAACGTTTTGTGGACCTAATGTGCATTCGGCGTTCTTCAGTTACAGTTACTTCAAACACTGTAAACAGAACAATCAGATGGTATAACTTACAAAGAGACACAACGAACATTAAGTATCCAGTCTGTGAAAGATGTTTAAGGTTTCCCCAGATACCGTTGGTTCATCCAGTCAAACAGATGATGTACAGGACACACTGACAAGTATCCAGAAACAGATAGCATTGCCCGGCGTAGCATCGGACTATCAGCAGCCGAAGTCAGCCAAATGGTGCAACGTCTCGGTGGTAGCTTCCAGGATATATTCAAGTTTGGTTTTCATACTTTTTTCTCTGAATTATATCCAGATGATACCATACTATACGAAAGCAGAATCATTCTCGGAAATAAGTCTTACCATATCAAATAGCATTGCACTTTTTTTATTTCTAACCTATTGGGCTCTCAGTACCAACATCCACAGCAAGGTTCGTACATTCAAATAACGTCTTCGTGAAACAAGGTTGAAGTTTAACAGTTGTGTTCAGCCACTAGACTGAGTCAGAGAGTGAAGAGGGCGTGTGTATGTCTTCTGGTCCTCCCTGCATGTACCTGTGTTTCCAGTGGCGTAGTCCTGAGCACGATGGGTGACACATCCAGTGACTGGTATTGGCCTTTGCTTGTATTATCGTCGATAGTTAAACAAAACCATTCGTTATTGCTTCTGTTTTTGTCCATCTCGCTTCTTCTTACTTATGAGTATGATAATTGCACACTGAGACTGTCTAGGGCTAATAAAGGATCTGTCAAAGAAGAAGATATTGAGGACATTCGAGGGTACCATGTATCTGTAACAGATCTAGTTGAACATGTGTGTACCCTCATGTCCAGACACGTCGCTGCTGGCTACGTCAGCTCCTTCCTCATTGTGTGTTTCTGTCTGTACAGCAGCATCAACAACGAGAAATCTATTGCAAACATTGGTATTGCTGCAGCTACTCTGTATATATCTACATTGCATCTCATCGCCCTCACATATATTGGAGTCAGACTGCACGAAGCGGTAAGTGTTAAATTTCAATTTTTGCCGAAATCAAATCATGTTTTCAGATTTATGCAGAAATCATCTGTATGATTGAGTATGATTGTACTTTAATGTACAATTCAGCTTAACAATGTTCCCAATTTAGTAGTTGAATTATCTATTCATATTTAAATGACGACACCAATAACAGCTTTTTGTTTTCGTTATAGACACTGTGCAACTGAATGAAATCATACGATTCCCTATGCAGCTATTATCGGGGGTGAATATTGTTTGTATCAGCCTTAGAATTGTGTTAAACTGCAGACTGTGTAGTTTGGAAAAGAAACACGTTCAACCTATGAACTACCTTCGGAAAGCAACGGTCCTATATCACAGGTGGTTATTACTACAATGTTTGTTTACAGGCACACAAGCCTCTGAATCTTCTCCTGGACATGACTGTGGAAAATATGCCTGATAGAGTTATTGGACTGGTAAGAAATTATTATAACAAATTCAGAGACTCTTCATCTGTATCCTAAAATGCATTTCAGTGTTTTGTTAGAAACTGCGGAACGAGCATTGATTAAGTATATATAATATTATTTATCTTTTTGTTATATGTACTTATGATACATTTCGGTGTGTCCTCATTATATTTCCTGTGTTCCAATTAGCTGAATAGAGCGATCACTATGGTATATGTACGTCATGATTACGAAGTACAGCTGGTGGCCACATTCGCTATACATACTTCGGCAACACACTCTGTCAGTTGTATTTCTAATTAACTCACACTTTGTAAACTGTATATTTCAGGCCAGCTAGAATCCCTTCTCGTTTAAACTGACATTCATTCACATATAAACTGAAGTTTCAGGCATCCAAAACTGCAGTGCAATACGGTTATGTATGCAGTATATAATAACTAACCAGCGCGACGGAAGTCTTTCCGAACATCCAGCTCAGTCATTCATACTCATCTTTCCGAATAAGAATGTTTAACGTTGTTATTCAACATGTCATGTATAATACGTTATGCTTTGTCTATATCATGTTTTTCTTTCGATCTGTACACCCAGCTGCAGATCACACTGTTCGCCAACAAGTTGTCTCAATGTCAGATCGGAATCAAAGCTTTAGGACTAATGACTATCACGAAGGGACGCTATCCTAACGGTAGGGTCAATGCATATAGATCAACCTACATGGGATCACAGTGGATTATTCCAGACTTTAAGATAGATTTTAAGATGCTACGCTAAAAGATAAAAAGTGCCGACAGGACTTTATCATGCGATAAAGTACATTTTTGGCATGACTTTACACTGTATTGCCGTCACAACGTCTTTCTTGTCTAGCCCATGGTTATCAAAAGTAGCCTTGATAACCGACGTCACGATGCATGTCAGTTATCATTGCCTCGTACAGTCACCTATAGTAAACTACCCCGTAGCGCCTCGTTTGTTGGTTTGCAGTTACGTCTCTCGGCTAACATCACCGGTGGAAACATTACGTTTAAACTTTTTCTACGGAACATTAATGTCTCAGCTCGATTCACAATTAAATAGGGACACGGCCATGTTAGCTAACAAAGCCTGTGTCCACAGTCCAACAATGTATCCGTGGAACGTCAGGTGACTAGTCGGCTTCATCTGGATTTACTGTTCTAAACTTACGTTGGTAGCACAAATACGACGTTCATATTGTTCCACATGGTTTACGATAATCTCAGATTTTTTAACAATAATAAATAGAAGATATTTAACCTGAATATAAACCGACTTCATACTGTTCAACACTATGTTTTGGTTTCTTGATAACGTGCGTGTTAACGTAGGGTCAACGTCAATAGAATAGCACGTAAGTTTGCCCTCAACGAGGATTGTTAACTTAGGTCACCGACATAGTAGTTTTTCTGTTTGTTTTCTGCTTTAGATCAATCGGTTGTAAGTATTAAATTTGGCATCATAGAAAAGAAATACAGTTCGCCGTACCCAATGTATGGTGTAATAAAGCACTGTACACTTTTGCGCTGAACTGTTATAGCGTGGAAGCACTCGGACGCAAGCGTCACCGTACTTTAACTATAATAGTTCCTGGCAAAAGTGTACTTTATTACACTTCTACATGGGATAGGGCGAACTGTATTTCTGAAACAGAATTCTTGTCTCTAACCAATCTAGCTCCATGCAACCCAGTTATCAAGCCATTACTTATGAAGATCCGGGTTAGAACTGGTCTTCAGCAACTCGTGCTTATAACAAGAAGCAACATACCATATCGCCGCGTCAGGCTTAATTGGTTTATACATATTCTTACGTGTAGATGAAACAAATGCCGTTCAAATCACAATCACTGTCATGGTATTACAGTTGCAGTGCAAATTCAAAGGCAGTAGAATACAAAGACAGTGATGGTAATATCAACCTAACTGCAACAACGGACAACTCTCCAAACTTAGACGTAAATGATGCTCAGGTTAAGAATGATTTCCACAAAATTGTTAGACTTCTTGTAACTTGAGATGCAATGTCAGATAATAGGTCTGCATTTGCAACCATTATGTGCCAAAGACAAAGTTTCCAGAAGCTTCTCCTAATACCTGGGTCAAAATAAAAAGGAAAGGTTCATATTTTTGCAGTACCTTCTAGAACTCTGTCTAAATATAGCACAAGTCTAAATATTCCACTCCACCGACTATCCAGGAGTACAATATATTACGCTTGGAAAATTATCACACAATAAATAACATTGCTACATAACTATAGCATCCCAATTGCGAGATCACGGCTCATGATGTCAATCACTGAATTGTCGTGGATTGAGTCGATAATATACAATCCCCTTTAAAGAAATTGACTATGTTCTTTGAGGCTTTAAACTAACAATAAATCAATAACTCACCTACGTTTTCATCGTGGTACAGTTTAAGCCAGACTCAACGGCTCGAATTCAACACAATGAAAACGCTACGACAGCATAACTTGACCAACTCGTATTTGATTTGAAGTTCATTCTTCTTGTATTCATGGTCATTTTGTTTAAGGTTGTAATGTGTCATCTTGACTTTGTTGCTATAGAAACAGAATATTGTTGCGAGAGAACGTTTCCAAACCTTTAAACGGCACGAAAGGCAAGATTGACTTATTTAGATAGAGTAAAACTATTTGAATCGATCACGGACAATGTGTAACTTGGCTTTCTCACATTTATGCAGTATACCTGTATTTGATTTGAACTCAACGTGTAATCACTATTTAGCTTTACCCTGTAATGTTTTGACATCGTCTCCATGTAAACATTGTCCTGCAACGTCTGTCGTTTATAACCCTTTATGTCGAAATCCGTCAGCTTAATGTAGGCGAAAAACCAGCAGCTGTCGTAAAGATTAGGGACTGTGAAAATGCTGTTAGCAGTTGCGTTGATGCTGTGTTACCTTGCTTCTCGTCAATTGTTATCACAGGTGAGCTGACGGTCAAATGCTTAACAAAGTGCATCTAATTAGAGCATTTACTGCAAACGCCAGCATGTGGAGTCTTTTTGCGAATACACGCTTCGGTAACTGACTTATTGAAGTACATTTGAATGGTTCATGTTATATAAAGGACTGAAGGAATTCATTAACCGTAGTATAAGAAGCCAGGAATTTCATAAGAAGTTGTAGGATTCTGAAATTAAATCACGCTTTCGCGAACACCTGGTATCATGACCATTTGACGGACAATAACAAACACATACTCAAAATATCACAGTCAACAGCTATTAGCAAATATGTTGTATACACATGAAAAGGGTTTTGTTTATAATTTGGATGATGCAGGGAATGAAGCTATACTGTACTGACAGACAAACATACTTCCCACTTTTAAGCACACGAACTAAATGGCACGTTTATCTTTTGAAGAAAGATGAAGCCATTGGTATTTCGAGAATGGGAACAACTCAACTCAAAACCAATAAACAGCCATTATATATGATAAAAATAATGAGTCGGAAGAGATGTGTTTTTACCTGGGATTTGAAAAGCAAGAACGTTTATATATATCAGAGAAAAGATACTTTGGAATTATACAATTATCAGAAGCTGTTTTACCAATACCGTTATGGGCAATAAAGAGGCATTTCAAGAAACTCATCTCTTGGGACTGTTAAACAAGTTTCATATGATACTTAGTGTATGCCAAACGTTGATCATTAAAGATGTGAGGTGAGGTGAACTGGGGTTTAACGTCACAATTAAGAATATTTCGCTCAAATGACGATGTGCATAAGTGTGTATGTGTGGGTGCTTGCAGACGTAAGCTAGTTTGATAGTGCTAAGTGACTGAGATACCATACCGAAGTTAAGCATGAATACCCCACTCGGACACAATACCACCAGCTGACCAGTCTTTGTTTGACCCATTAATGTCATTACTCTCTCTCTCTCACACACCGAGCTGACCAGTCTCTCTCTCTTGTACCCATCTCTCTGCTCCCTCTCTCTCTCTCTCTCTCTCTCTCGCTCCCTCTCTCTCTCTCTCTCTCCTCTCTCTCTCTCTCCCTCTCTCTCTCTCTCTCTCTCTCTCTCTCTCTCTCTCTCTTTCTCTCCCTCTCTCTCTGGTGTTCCAGAGCGTCAGGTTACACAGCACTTAATATATACTTTCATGTTAGAAGTCGACATGACATATCCACCGAGAATTCTGCCGTATTGATTAATCACTTCAGATCATGCATTTTATCACATGTCCATTAAAGGATTTGTTTTGTGTGGTGCTCCGTCACGTTGATTGTCATATTGGCTCGTCCCACCTATTTCCATTTTATACCGTTTGTGAAAGAAGTGTACATTCAGTGTTGAGTGGTGTGTCGACAGTATTACTCCAAATACTCAAAACAGAAGAATCAGATGGTCTAGCTGTATCCAGTGTCCAGTCTGTGCAAGATGTTTAAGGTTTCCCCAGATACCGTTGGTTCATCCAGTGAAACAGATGATGTACAGGACACACTTACAAGTATCCAGAAACTGATCGCATTGTCCGGCTTATCATGGGACTATCAGCAGCCGAAGTCAGCCAAATGGTGCAACGTCTGGGCGGTAGTTTCAAGAATATATTCAAGTTTAATTTTCATTTTCTTTATTCTGTGTTTTATCCAGATGATACCACACTTTTCAAAAGCCGAATCGTTCACAAAGAAAAGTCTTTCCTTAACAAATACGATCGGAATTTTGTTATGTCTAACCTTCTGGGTTCTGAGTACCAACATCCACAGCAAGGTTCGTATATTCCACGAACGTCTTCGCGAAACACGGTTGAAGTTTAACAGTTGTGCTTCAGCCACTGAATTGAGACAGAGAGTGAAGAGGGCCTGTGTATGTCTTCTGGTCCTCGCGGCATGTTACTGTGGTGCCATTGGCTTAATGGTTAGCTTTGTGAGTGACGCATCCAGTGACTGGTATTGGCCTTTGCTTGTATTATCGACGGCAATTGCTGGCTGTACCTGTCTGCTACAACATTCGTTATTGCTTCTGTTCTTGTCCATCTCTCTCCTTCTTACTTATGAGTATGATAATTGCACGCTGAGACTGTCAAGGGCTTCTGAAGGTTCCGTCAAAGAAGAGGATATTGAGCATATTCTAGGGTACCATGCATCCTTAACAGACCTTGTGGAACATGTGTGTTCCCTCATGTCCAGACACGTTGCTGCTGGCTATGTCAGCTCCTTCCTCGTTGTATGTTTCTGTCTATACAGCAGCATCAACGACGAGAAGTCCATTGCCAACATTGGTACTGCTGCGGCTGCTCTGTATTTCTCTACATTGTATCTCATCGCCCTCACCTATATTGGAGTCAGACTGCACGAAGCTGTAAGTTTTAAAATTGTGTTTTTGATAAAAGGAAATCCTCTTTTCAGAACATTGCAGAAATGATGCGGATGATTGATTATGAGTGTACTTTAATGTACAATTCAGGTTAACAATTTCAGTAGGTAAATTATCTATTCATATTTAAAAGGTCGAACCCAATAAAACCTTTTTTCGTGATAAATAACAACAACTGAATGGAATAATACGACTTCCTATGCTGTTACTTATAGGGCTGAATATTGTTGTGTTTCCACGTGTATCAACCTTCCAATTGTGGTACACTGCAGAGGGTGTAGGTTGGAATGGAAGAACGTTCAACCACTGAGCTACTGAAACCAACGGTTTTATATAACTGGTGTTTATTCCTACAATGTTTGTTTACAGGCACACCGACCTCTGAATCTTCTCCTGGACATGACTGGGAAATATATGCCTGATAGAGTTATTGGCCTCGTAAGAAATTATTATAACAAATTCAGAGACATTTCAGTATCTAGAAACTATATTTAACTGTGTTTACCGTTTTGCTAGAAACTGGGGAACGACCATTGATTTGGTATGTAAATATGATTTATGTTATTTATAAGTTTTTGTTATATTTACTTATGTTAACTTTTCGTGTGTGTTCATTGTAAAGCCAGCTTCCACATTCGCTATACCTTCCCTATACACCTGCTTCGGCAACACACACTGTCAGCTGTATTTCTAATTAACTCACACTTTGCATCCTGTGTTATTCTGGTCAACTAGAATCTCTTGTCGTTGTTGAAATTGACATTAATTCACATAGTGAAGATTTGGGCATTTAACATGGTATGTCTACGTTGTGTTTTGTCTCTATCATGTTTTTCTTATGTTATGTACACCCAGCTGCAGGTCACACTGTTCGCCAACAAGTTGTCCCAACGTCAGATCGGAATCAGTGCTTTGGGACTAATGACCATCACGAAGGACACTATCCTAACGGTATGCTGAATACGTATAGTTCGACCAATATTGGACCACAACGGAATTTTCCAGAAGCAATATACAGGATCGAATCTGGTTTGTAGATGTTTTTTATGAGTTGATTCACAAACTGAAACTAATGCAATAGTTTACCGGAATCAGTTTGTGACAGAATCCGGTTTAACCCAACAATCAACAATGAGATGAGATATAATTAACCATTGTATTCTAAAAATATAGTTGCGGGCAACGATGAGGTCTGCTTGGCTTTACTTTCTATCTATTGTATCTGAGGGCTAGATATCATCGTCCAAAACGGAGCCAGAACACATGTTTCGACAGGCGAGCGGATCTTCCAAATACAGCCGGGGTCACGGGAGTCATGTACATTTTAAGTAGTTCCGGGGAAGAAATAGTTCCCCCTTTAAAAGGCTGTATCTCAGTTGTTCTTGGGTCTACGTTCAAAACAATTAGTGTTCTGGAATCGCCAGGCCATCACCTACCATACTGGCAAAATTTACACATTTTGGGAGCAAACTACTCAGAAAAGCTGAAAACAAAAATAACTGCCAAACGGTACGTTTTAGCGACTTGCCTCGTCCAGGCAAAATTATTGGGTATTCGATTGTGCACCTGAACAAGAAATTTGGAAGTGTCGGAACAATTAGTTCTTGAGATATTTGCTGTCAAACGTTGAAATTTTGGAATTAATTTTGAATTATCGCCCCTTTGCTATTGGGCCAAGAGCCTAGAGATTTTTAAGGGGAATATCTACACCTCGGTGCGCATCTGTGTGATTTTTTGTAAGTTATTCGAAGCATCGGTTTAGGAGTTATGTTTGGTACAAAAATCGGCGGAATAATAAATAATAATAATAATAATCCGAACGATTACAATAGGTCTCCTGCCTAGAGGCAAGGAGCCCTAATTAACTAAGTTACAAATTACTATCACGGTGTAATAGTGGCAGTATCAAATAGAGTGGGAGTATAAATTCAAAGGCAGAATAATACAAATTTTGTGATTATTGAAATAAAGATGATGTTTGTAATATTCACCTCACTGAAACAACAGTCAAGTTTCCAAAACTATGCCTCTTCTGAATACCTTAGATAAGAACGATTTCCACACAAGTACTGGTGTTCTTGAGATGTAAAGTGAGAAGATAGCCAAGCAAGAAATAAACACCCTGTAGTACCTTCCAGAACTAAGTATCTAAGTATATCACCAGTCTAAATATAGCCTGCCACTGCCTCTCACTGACTATCCATATGCACAATGAATTACACTTATAACATTGTTACACAAAAAATAACATTGCTACATAACAATATTTTTGCATCTCAGTTGCGAGATCGATGTTCATGATGTAAATGATTGGATTGTATTGGATTGACTCCATGATGTACAATTCCCTTCCAAAAGCTGAAGCATTGTTGAGTGCGGCTTTAAAGTAACAATAAATCAATAACTTGCCTTCTTTGTTCACACAGATCATCGGTACCCTCCTGACCTACGTTTTCATCGTGATCCAGTTTAAACCGGACTCGACCGGTGGAATTCAACACAATGTAAACGCTACGACAGCATAACTTGACCAACTCGTATTTGACTTCAACTTGACGTTTTTTCCATTAACGGTCATTATATTTAAGTTTGTAATGTGTTGACTTTGTTGCTATGAATATATCGAACATCATCAATGGTGTGCGCGCACAGTACGTCTGTAAAGCTGTTGGTTTGAAGAAAACACAAGAAGTACAAGAACGTTTCCTGTTACGTTTTAACAATAGATGTGACACAACACAGAAATCATCGGTTTGGACTTAAAATGATACGAAACATGGAGCTAGAGAGAGTATCTGGCAACGTGGCGTGTATGTGATGACACAAAAATATGTATTTGTAACCTTGTAACATTGTAAATCAGTATCTAGTGTACCCTCCAACTGCCTTACGTCGCATACCCCGGTAGTCGTCGCATCCGTTCTAGAGGAACCTGTCATCCTGTTTGTGCGAAGCTGCTCCTAACTCAGTCAGACGTAGAACAGGTGGTACATATTTACTGATCACCCGTCAACTTCCCACTTGTATCAGTCGTCAAATAAAGGTCAGGTCTGGACTCAAAGCTGGCCATGGAAGGTGAATGACTGCATTATTCTGAATCAAGGCTGTCACTGTTTGGCCTAGCGTTGTCATCCATCAATACAGATCTTGTAACAAGAGGATGATTATCAAAATGAAGGGTCCAGTGCAATCTGATCTCCCGTCAAATTCCCCGTATATTCTATATACTGTATGTAACATTGTGAATGCTGCCTGTGACATACTGGAAAATGATAATATTCTATTATGTATTATAACGTGATACCATATTTTGCTGCACACCATGTTCTGAATGTAAGCCCTGTCTGAGTAAAGCTCATGGACCTCTCCGTACACGTGACTCGTTGTTGTCAAAGATTTAAGCAAAGCTCTGACGTCCACGTCGGGCAATTCAATGATGCTATAGACATCCATCATTATAACATGCCTTCTAAATTACGATGATTAACTGTATTTCAGATTACGACGGAAGAAAGTCATGTTATCCAACAACAATAGCCGTGCATCTGCCTCTCAGTAAACAGTGGTGTGCACCGAATCTCATATTGCTGTGAACCCCCAACCACCACAACATCTATTGATCTTCATGTTTGTTGTCACACTGTCAGAACAATTTCAAAGGGGGATGATATTACCGGATATTAAAGCAAACACTGCTCCTAGAGTATATAAGGGCTAATTAGAACAAGTCAGGAAATGTTGGACAGCAAACACTTATGCCATATAGATTGACTGATTAATTAATAGGTTTATGAACAGCTATTCACAGCCAAGATAAGCAATCACTCTCAACACAAATATCAATTAATCTTCATTAAAACTGTTCTTTCAAACACTGGTGAGACTTAGTGGAGAACAGACCGAACTGAAGTTTTAGTCTACAAAGCAAAGACAAAGATTGTTGATTTCATAAGCTGTCGAAGATGTTGAAGATTTTCAGAAATACCGTTTATACATCTGGTGAAACAGATGATGTACAGGACACACTAACATGTATCCAGGAACTGATAGCATTGTCCGGGTTATCATTGGACTATCAGCAGTCGAAGGAGGCGAATTTATGTAACGTCTATTTGGTTGCTTCCCGGATATATTCAAGTTTGGTTTGTATGTTTTACATTCTGTATTTTATCCAGATGATTCCATACTATACAAGAGCTGAATCGTTCATGGACATCAGTCTTACCTTAGCTGATAACATTTTAGCCTTGTTATGTGTGACGTATTGGGTCTGAGTACCAACATCCACAGCAAGGTTCGCATATTCTATGAACGGCTTCAAGAGGTGCGGTTGAAGTTTGACAGTTGTATTTCGGCCACAAGACTGAAGCAGAGAGTGAAGAGGGCATGTGTATGTATCGGGCTTTTCGCGGCATTCATCTGTGTCGCCTGTGGCTTAACCGTGAACATGATAGATGGTACGTCCAGTTATTTCTTTTGTCCGTCACTCGTTTTGACATTGATAACTGCTGGCTGTACAACTCTGCTAAACCATTCTTTGTTGCTTTGGTTCTTGTGCATCTCCCTCCTTCTTACTTATGAGTATGATAATTGCACGCTGAGACTGGCATTGGTCTCCGAAGGATCCATCAAAGAAGAAGATATTGAGGACATTCGAGGCTACCATGCATCCTTAACAGACCTGGTGGAACATGTGTGTTTCCTCATGTCCAGACACGTCGCTGCTGGCTACGTCAGCTCCTTCCTCGCTGTGTGTTTCTGCCTGTACAGCATCAACAACGATGACAAGTCCTTTGTGAACATGAGTATTGCCGCAACTTCAGTGTACATTTCCATTCTTCAACTCATCGCTCTAACCTATACCGGTGTCAGACTAAACGAGGCGATAGGTGGCAGAAAGATTTCCTTTCTTTTATAAAAGGATACACAGCTTTTTGTCCGGACATTTTAGAATGGCGGGGTTTCCACTATGGATGCTGTTGTACGTTCTGCAATGTCTCAAGGTAGAGGAATGCAAAGATAATACTTTCTATACGTTTCTAAGTTGGGTGTTTTCTGTCCTCTAATAGCAGTGTTCCGTTGATATGTCGCTGCTGTGATTTTAGACGTTACGTACGTACTACTTATCAATTACCTCCAAGGACCCCATGTCATCGTTACATAACCAGTATTAAAGCATTAGACGTTTCTGTTTCAATGTTTCATGATGTACAGTTATTATTCTAAATTTTAAAGGACAATGTTTGTATACGGGCACATCGATCCTTGAAAATCCTGCATGGAGAGCGATTTTCATCATCACGTTTTTATTTCAGCTAATACGCTTTCTTTTATAATTCTGAACAACAGTAACGTTTGTGTCAATGAAATAGTTACTTCTGTCCTTGCGACCGCAGTGAATGATCATGTGAACTGAACTCACGTTTTCCTTTCGGCTAATAGAAATTTCACCTGTTCTTTGATTCCAGCCTTATAAGGATGACTGGCAACAGACGCCTTTACAAAGCAGTATTTTCGAGATCCCTGAAAGCGTACATCCCTGCACTTGACTAAAACCTTTATACCTGAAGATATTTTGTTTAGCAAAACATATGTCCTTCATATAGAATTATCTGAATGATCTTGTACCAGGTAGAGTTTTTCAACAAAGCAACTATAATCTTAGAGATAGTACTCCATTCAAACTACTAACTGTAGAACGCAAAGATATTCTCAATCATTTTTACCGAGCGCGATTATGTCGTGGAATTCATGGCCCGATGGAGCTGTTAACGCTATTTCCGTGAGGCAGTTTAAAACCATGATAAATCCAACAAAACTGACAACTACTTTGATTTAAATTTTGGGACTAGATTTTGTCAAATCATCCATTGTCGCCTCAAGCTCGGCTGTAGTGATCTGAACGCAGACAGATATAATCGACATATATCAGAAACAGCTAAGTGTTCATGTGGTCATTATAACGAAGACGGCATTCACTACCTTTTTACATGTTAAGAACAACGGTGTATTTTTATATTCAAGGATACGATGTGAAAACTACCTTATACGGTAACGGCGCATTGGATAACTCAAAAAATTGTGACATTCTCAACTCATTACACCAGTTCATTTCTAAAATTAAGCGCTTCCAGTGATTATCACCTCTACATATACATGTATATTCAATGCATGACAAGATTTATATAACTTGATTTTCTGCGGCAGCTCTTTTCGTTGCTAGGCACAACCAACACCATAACCAAATATTTATTATTCAATCATTTTTCTGAGTGTAATTTTGTCTCAGTATTATTCTTTTCTTGCCGGACTATTTCAAATATGTATCCAGCTATATTGGAACCGTGTACTGGAGCGGCGTTTATATAGGCCACTAGGCTTGTTCGCCTATCCAGGTTTCTGCATTGACGGAATAAAAATATGTTTAAACCATATAGCAAGAAGTAATAGTTGTATCATTTGAGCAATGCTGAAGCTATTTCTCAGAGTGCGAAGTTGAGACCAATGAGATAAAACACCGTTACATGTAACTAGCTGTGTTGCGTTACCTCTGCCAAATATCTCCTAATTCCGGTCTACATTATTTCTTGCTCTACTAGAGGTGTTGATTCTGGTTGTTTTCTTGGAAATATATAGAGAATACTACTATACTATACTATACTATACTATACTGAGGTCTCATTACATACGAATTATACGAAACGAGTGTCTTTCCTATGGTATCTGACCGAGCGAAAGCGAAGTCAGAAACCATTGGAACGTCACGAGTTTTGTATTATTCGTATGTTAAGAGACCGAGTGTGGTATTTTATTTATTACCCACGTCTTACATGCATTAAATATACATACATGCATAGCGTATTTTGTTATTTTATGGTTTCAAACCGAAACTGGTTTCATAAAGAGATTGCCGAAGAATTTTGTTCTGTAGTACACTTTTTGCATGACGTCACACTGTAATGACGTCACTACGCCTTCTCGTCTGCCCCCTTGGTAACCGACGTCACGATGCATGTCAGTTGTCATCGCCTCGTCCATCCTCCTACATTAAACTACTCCGTAGCACACCGTTTCCTAGTTTGCAACTGCTTCACTCCGCTAACATCACTGGTGGAAACATTGCGTTTATATTTGTCGACGCATATATTGTCTTAGTTCGACTCACAATTAAACAGCGATACGACAACGTTCGCAATGTTTACCTTCCCACAATGCATATAAGTTGAAGAATGAATGAATTCACGTTGCTTGCTATGAATGAAAAAGTAGTTCCGTCACAACGTGATCTAATTGAGAGGTCATCGGTTATCCAATCAAATCGTCAGAATCTCAGGTCAAGTCGTTACGACACAGGTCAACGCGATACGACAGTAGTGTGACGTACGAGATCAGTATGCAACTACCCATACGTTGACCACGTGGGTAATAAACAGTGTTTAGCTCATCAATAGTCATGTCCTCTAAATATACTTACGTCACTGAATGAGGTAGGTATCTTGCTTCCAAAGACGAAAACATTTCCGTTGGTCGGCCATTATTGGAAAAGTCTTCGATTCCCTGCACCCTGAAAATCTGGAATGTCAAAATTGAAATGTTTCCTTGTAAGTGCTCATTTTCAAAATACATCAACACAAGAGTGAGAAACTTTCGTGGCTTTGAGAGCGCACAATGTTTGTCCACATGTGCATCTTTGTGAACTGAAAAATATGGCTAAGTATTTTGTCCAATGATCAACATAACGTTCAAATTCCCAGGATTCAAACCGGGCTGCTAGTCCCACAGGCAACGCATTAACCACTACACCACTGCCTATATCAATGTGGACACCATACATGAATACGTTTCAGACCATAACTAGTGTTATATTATGCTTCAAATGCCCTCGTCACCATGGCCACAATGCAAATCACATTCAGTATTTTGAAGTTTGTATGGCAATAGTGAAAAGGTTGTTGTTGTCAAATTGTAATATTTTGATCTAGTAACAGCTGCGATACCAACGTTTGTTTGAAACTGCTGAAGGTATAATTGTGACCGACAATAACGTACACCTACTTCCA